TGTATACTGATATATATCCATAAAATAATTTATACTATCAATATAATCCATAAAGATACATGTATTATGATAATATCATCATAAAGATACATTATTATGAATAATATCATCCATAAAGATACAGTGTATTCTGATCAATAAATCCATAAAGAACCATCGTCCCCTGTTTGTCGTCCTGCAGTTGCCGTTCAGTGTTTAGAGACGGCGTTTTGAAGTTTCCACTGATGACCAGAGTTCTCGCCGTTCCCTTGATGACGTTACGGAGATTCTTCTCATCCGTCACAGAGAAGGTAGAAAACGTGCAGAAGTTTAGTTCTTTGTTGTTGTCGGCATTTTCCAGGTGTTTCTGACTCTGTGTGTGGTGTGTGGTGTTTGTGTTGTTGTGTCTTGTTGTGTGTTCTTTTTTTTTGTGTGTGTGTGTCTCTTGTGTGTGTTGTGTGTGTGTGTTTGTGTGTGTTGTTTTGTGTGTGTGTGTTGTGTGTGTGTTTGTGTGTTGATGTGTGTGTGTTTGTGTGTTTTCTTGTGTGTGTGTGTTGTGTGTGTGTGTGTGTGTTCTCTGTGTGTGTGTGTCTTCTTTTTGTGTGTGTGTGTTTCTGTGTTGTGTTTGTGTGTGTGTGTGTGTGTGTTCTTGTGTGTGTGTGTTTGTGTGTGTGTGTGTGTGTTCTCTGTGTGTTGTGTTTGTGTGTGTTTTGTGTGTTTGTGTGTTCTGTGTGTGTTCTTTTGTGTGTTGTGTGTGTGTCTCTTTTATTTTGTGTTGTTGTGTGTGTGTGTTTGTGTCTGTGTGTGTGTGTTTGTTGTGTTTGTTCTCTTGTGTGTGTGTGTGTGTGTGTCTCTTTTTTTTTTTTTGTGTTTGTGTGTGTGTGTGTGTGTCTCTTTTTTTTTTGTGTTTGTGTTGTGTGTGTGTTACTTTGTGTTGTGTGTGTGTGTGTCTGTGTGTGTGTGTGTGTGTGTTTGTGTGTGTGTGTGTCTGTTGTGTGTGTTTGTGTGTTGTGTGTGTGTGTGTGGCAGCATCCAGTTGAGTCGCAGGTCAACAACAACTCCACTCAGAACTCCATCACAGAGGAACAGAGAGCCGAGGCCGAGATCCTGAAAACCGACGGTAAGATGATGATGATTGATGATGAGGAGGAGGGAGGATTGGAGGAGGAGGAGGAGAAGAAGACTCTTCTTCACTGCTCCTGCTGTTGGTTCTTTTTTTCGTTTCCATTTGTCAGTTTGCTTTTTCTCGACTGCAGGAAACGACCAAATGAAAGTGGAGAACTTCTCAGCCGCTGTTGAGTTTTACTCGAAGGCCATCGCCATAAACCCTCAGAACGCCGTCTATTACTGCAACAGGTCAGTGCGCCGCCGGGACGCCGTCACATCAGCTGTTTGACTTCAGTTTGAATCCCCACGAAGTCAGAATCAATGTTTTAGAGTGTTTATCTTCTCAGTTTCTGTCCAACAGGGACAGGAAGTCCTGGTTCAGGTGTTCTAACGGTTTCCTGAATCAATAAAAAGTACTTTGATGACTTACTGCACTCCGGGGGGCGTTTATCTAATGCTGCGTGCCAATTCCAAACGCTTCTTCTTCTCTGACGCTGCCGGAGTGTTTCTGAGGGCCGTTACAGACGATCTATGACCTCACTGAGTACAAAGACCTACTGTAGAGATACATTAACTAACGAATCAATCTCCCTCGTTCATCTGAAAGTTAACCAATGATGTAAATTAGCAAACAATTTTACATTAATTGTCAGTTAGCTCAACTTTATAACTTCATTCAGTAATTTTAGTGAAACTGGATCAGATCTTATGGAGAAAACATTTTCAGATTTTCCTCCAGCTGCTCAGCTAAAACTCAACTGTACTTAACTGTATCTGCTGTTAGCCCGGGATGCCAGGAGCCAAACCCGGCAAGAAAACCACCTCGGTCTGTCTCTGAGATTGTGTTCGGTCCAGAGTCCGGCTGGTTGGTACCAGGAGCTCTGTGAGATATTTGCTGTATTTTACTCATTGAGTCATAAAGGAGTTGGTGTGGTGTTTCTGTGTGCAGGGCCGCAGCGTACAGTAAACTGGGGAACTACGCCGGAGCGGTGCAAGACTGCGAACAGGCCATCAGCATCGACCCGAACTACAGCAAAGCCTACGGGAGGATGGGGTAGGAAACCCAGCAGCAGTTTACAGTAGAGCAGCTGCTGCTCTGAGTCAAACAAACAGTGTCGTTTCTCCTCAAGGAAACATTCAGGCTGCTGTGAATCTTTCTCTGTGCTCTGGTAGCTGTCAAAGTGTACGAGGAAAAACATCACTGAAGTATAAAGTCACATTCTGTACATTTAAAAAAGAAAGCTGGGATAACTTTGTTAGGAGACGGTGCACCGATGATCGATGTGTTGTCTTTTAATATATATATATATATATATATATATATAATATTCTGTTATTGTCTCCGGTTGGAGTCCTGAGGCGTTCACTGTCGTCTCTTTGTGTCTCAGTTTGGCTCTGGCCAGCCTCAACAAACACACAGAAGCAGCCAGTTATTATAAGAAAGCTCTGGAGCTCGACCCCGACAACGACACCTACAAAACCAACCTGAAGATCGCAGAGGAGAAGATGGAGACCTCCAGTCCAGTAAGACCAGAAGAGACCAGGAGGAAATGTTTTTTCTTTCCAGTGATGCAGTGATGGGTCCTTATGTCTCTGTCTCTCTTTCAGACAGCGGGGATGGGTGGAGTCGATCTGGCCGGTCTCCTCAGTAATCCCGGCTTCATGAACATGGTGAGAGCTCGCGCTCGGAGGGTCGACGCCCGCTGTTAACAGTTGGTTTATTGACGAGAGTTAAGCTTTGTTCCACCAGGGTCAATTCTTGGACTTCTGCTTTTTATTTGATCATACTCCGCAACGTTATAAAGAAACACGGTAACAGAGTTTATCCTCCAATATGCTGATGATGCTCTGCTGTTCACTGTCACTCCACCTTCACGTCTATAGCTGTAGCCAACGAACTACATTAATCATGAGCTAGTTAATCTACATTAATCATTAATCATTAGAGCTGTTGTATCATCATTCTGTCGGGATCTACTCGTGATTGTAAATGGGGTGGACAAAATATCAGAAACACCTCACCATAATGCAGTTTGACTCCCAGCAGTGGAGACCGAAGGTTTGATTTCATTCTTGTACATCGTGTTTGTCGTCTGCTCAGTGAGTGTTGATAAAGTTTAATTTGATGTGTACATGTGTCTCTGCAGGCGTCCTCGCTGATGAACAACCCTCAGGTTCAGCAGCTGTAAGTGGATTTGAGTTTCTCTCAGTCGGAGCGTGTTTCAGTGTTTATATTCTCTGTGGTTGAACTTCCTGTCTCCTCTCTCTCCCCAGGATGTCGGGGATGATGTCAGGAGCGTACGGCGGGGTGGGAGGAGGCGGAGGAGGAGGTGGATTAGGAGGACTAGGTGCAGGACTAGGAGGAGGACTGGGAGGAGGACTGGGAGCAGGACTTGGTGGAGGAGGAGTAGGAGGAGGACTGGGAGCAGGACTTGGTGGAGGAGGAGTAGGAAGTGCCAGCCCCGGAGCCGCTGAGTGCTGCTGGACCAGCCGAGCCGCCGGACCTACGGACGCCGGACCCGCTGGAGCCGGAGATTTATCAGGACTGATCAGCGTACGTACCCCAGACCAACATTCTGACGTCGGTGGGCTGAACGTTGAACTGAAGTTATGGTGTGTCTGCTGTTGTGTTGCAAGGTCAGCAGTCTTGCACATCAATGCAGAACAGCAGAACCCCGATTCAATCGAACAGGCTGAGGAGTCAAATCGCGCAACCGAACGCCCAGCGCTTGGAAACGAGGAGCAGCCATGACATCAGATACAGTAAACTACAGTAAAGCATACAAGGGAGTTCTGTCTGCACGACAAAGAGCAACCATCGTAACCAGTCACACTGCTGTTAGACAACAGCTGATATTGGTCCTGATGCATCAGTAATCAATAGCTCCCATTATTAAAGCTTAAATCGATCCTGATCCCAGCCTTTATCAGTTAGCCTCGGGTTCTCTGTACGTGGAGAGCTAAACGTTACCAATGATCCATATCAGCCAGTAATTCGAATCCCAACTAAAAGCTGCCTGTCAACCAAATCCCATTTTAAAGAGAAATAATCACAATTTTAGACAAATTCCTCAGACGTGTTCGTAACACACGTAACCTCTAGAAACACGAGCTAAGGCGTCATATGTCCACAGTCTGACTGCCAATACAGGATCAATATCATTATCAGATAAAAAGTTATGCTCATTGGCTGTAACTCATTGCGATATGTAGCCTGCTGTTAATGGTTGATGTCCTCTGTCTGTTCCAGGTTGGACGGGTTTGTCTGGAGGAAAGGAGCTCATTCGGATCATTTATAACTCGAAGGACTAAAAGGAAGTTTTTTGGTTTTTTGTCTTTGTTCCATCACCGTATAATTCCTGCACGAGAGAACGAGAGGCGTCCCGCTTCCTTCAGGAGCCACGTCACCAAAAAAAACAAACTCCCACTTCCTGCGGCTCTGCGTGGTTTTTAGGAAGAACGTTTAACACTTTAATATCAAACAGATTAATGCTAATAAATCCTGCTCTAATAGGATCATGATGTTAAAACTGAAGCTTGAAATTTCTTCTTAAAACGACACAGTGTAACTTTAAATGTTTGTTGTCCTGTTTATGACGGATCTGAGTGTGTGTGTGTGTGTGCGTGTGTGTGTATGCGTGTGTTTTTGTAATTATAATGCATCGTGAAATGATATCCTTTTTCTGCCACTATCTGAGGATATTTGGTGTGAAACTCTTAAGCCAAGTGCAACACTGCTGCAGTTATTGTATCCATGACAGCTGATCATTGACACTAAGGGAAGAAAGGAAGCCGTAGTGTTTATGTATATAATCGATCACTTACCTATGAAAAACCAGGCTTTCTAAAAACCCAGGTATCTCCGTATTGATACTTTCGGTATTGATCAGCCCATCACTTCTTTGGATCACCTCCAAGGCTTGGATGAGCATAAAACTCTCCCAGTGAAATTGATCAGTAAAAAAGATAACCAAATGTGTTAGAAAATATCTGGTTCTTTGTTAAATCTAAAAGGCACAATACTGTATATATCAAAATAAGAGACGTTAACCCCCAGGGAGCATTTTAGTAAGAAACATGCAATCACCAAGCTTTAAAGGACCAATGTGTAGGAATTATTGGTATTTAGTTTAGGTTAGTTAGTTAGTTTAGGTTAGTTTAGTTAGGAGATTGGAAGCAACTGAATACTGCTCACCTTCCAAGCATGTGGGAGAAAAGTGTAAAGATTTCCAGCTAAAAAGTACACTAAAATATGTCTCTAAAATAATGTCCATTATATATAGGTATATAGTGGTTTGAACCCCCTGTCCCCACACCACAAACCAACAGACATATCAAGGCCGAGGCCCTTTGCCACGTGTCGTTCCTCCCTCTCTCTCCTCCTTTCCTTTCCATCTCTCAAGCTGTATTATCTACAAAGGAGAAATAGCCCCAAAAATATATTAAAAAAAGGAAACAAAACGATTCAAACTGATGGCCATACAATAAACCTGAAACATAGATAAATTATCCAGGAGACTCCAGTGTCTGTCCGGAGCCCGGTGTTCTCTCTGCACTGAATTCAGCGTTGGTTTCAGTTCATTTAGGTTAACAAAAACACGCAGACAGAAACTAAATCAAAACACCTCAGGGATGACGGTTACCCTCAGACTGGCCCGTATGAAGTAAGATCCGCCCTCTGGAGGTCGGCAACCAGTCGAGATGACAAATGACAACCTGTGGCTGTGACATTAAAAGTAAACTTCCAAAAGTTAATTCACAGTTAAGAAACATACTTTAGAAACTAATAGCCTTCCCACTTTATAAATGTGTAGGCAGAAGTCAAATTCATGGGAGAGCACCCAAATTCCAGGAGCTCTGGCGTTGTGAGACCAGAAGACGTCGAAACGTTGAAAGGGCAGCGTGTCATTACTTTATGACAGTGAATATAAAGTACCGTGCTGCTGCAGACTCCCCCTGGATAAATAAAGGTTAGAAAATAATAACACACGATCCCAGTAAACCAACCCATAGTGATTCAAACAACCCCACACACGCACACACACAGACACACACACACACACACTCCAGAAAACATTACAGCCGGATGATGTGCTGCAGTTTATATTTAGGCAGAGACCCTCGTGCTCTCACACATATCAGATGTTTGTTGTGGTTAAATTTGGAGTGCCCTGCTGACACACAGACACAGTGGGATACACAAATGCATGCACGCTACGCACAAATATAAATTCCCTACATCCTCATCTGCCTCTCTGCAAGGCGTAAACACACGCACACACCTACACACTTATCATTCTCATCTTACAGCCTGAACTGTCACTCTTCATTAGCTGTCTGACTGTGTGTTACATTATACAGAGCACAGCCGAACGGCATCTCAGTGAAGGAGACTAAATACAGTCTGAGCTTAATGTTGTTATGTTATTTGATATGAGTCAATGAATATTCAAGATAGCTTTGTCTGCAGTCCTACTTTACTTTAACTTGTTGGAGTTTTACACATTGTTTACCTTCACCCCAGTTCAGAGAAATCTGTTTTGAAACTGACCCGAATATAACTTAAAGTAAAAACTTTTTGTTTGGCTGTTACATTATATTGTGACCTTTCACATCAATCACATCAATGTTTTAGGAAGTTATAGTGTGACCTCTAACCTCTGATTGGCTTATTTCTCCACTTGATGTATTGTTTTTTCTCATTCTAAGCCACTGCAGTGACACTATAGATATCCAGATAGCTTTAACAGTTGCAGCCTCGTTCCACATATGCTTGTTTGTTGTGGAGGGCAAAGGCTTTTGGAGCCATCACACACATTCACCTGTGCGTTAACAAAATAAAGAACAAAACGTTGCACACATATATGATCAAAAGGTGGAACGATGAAGCTAAAAGTGAAAGCACAGTGGCTGAAAACTGAAATTGAGCACAAAAAGGTCTCACTGACACATGCTGATATTTTTAATAAAGATGCTTTCTCTGGATAAGAGCATCAGCTGAATGCCTAAAACCTAACATGTTTCGACCCATTTCTGTCTGTGTGTCCTCCAGCAGAAAGTCTCTGAAATGTTTTAATTGGAAACTCGCAGGAAGGTTGGTCAAGGGGCAACAAAGACCTGATTAACTCCAGGGAAAATCTGACATGTCGAACTGACACATCTTGACACTTTCATCGTATATCAGTGCAGTGACTGTCGTCTAGTTCAACTTGCATCTATTTTATGTCACTCTTAAAGTCTCTTTTTATTACAAATCATCCGTCCTCCCACTCTACAGTTCCTCTTCGTTTTACATGTGTCTTCTTTCCTTATTCACAAAAATGACAGAGTCAAAGGAAACAATGACCTTTGATCCCTCTTTATTGTATCGTTATACTACTGTAAGCTCACTGTGACACTGTGAGTGTCAACAAAATGCCTGAGATGTAAATGCTAAATCTATTCACATGCCAGATTTGTGAGACCAAAAAGGATCTGCATTTGCAGTAACATTGCTGGTGTTACCTCTGCCACCTCTTTCTGGGTAAGAGCCTCAAGTAAAATCTGTATTTGAAAAAGAAAAAGTCAGAAACAGCAAATGTCTTCCTTATAGAAAATGTATAAAAATGTTTTTGCTTTATGCATGATCCCCTACCTCCTTACTATGAACTTTTTGCTGCAATATAACAACATGCTACTTTAGCCTTTGCTACTGAGAGAGGAAAGGCAGTATTTGCACAACCACTAAAGGTTCCTTTCAGGAAAAACGAATTTGAACAAACGTCTAAAGCTTTTGTTTTTCTGGTCTCACATTATTTGGTACCTGCAGTCTTTGACACGTGAGCCTGCAAACAGACAACAAGGCAATAACCAGAGGTTGAGACCTCCCTTCACCTCCATCTATTTTTTCCCTAGTCTCTTTCCCCTTATTTCCCAGAAAGAGCTCAATCCCGCCGTGACCTTGCTCTGCTCGATTCACCTCCGAGCTCCACTTCGCCGAGCTGTAAAAACACTGAAATAAAAAAGGATAAGTGGCTATCTGTCTTAGAGGAAGAAAGGGACAATGGGGAGGCACAGTAAAGGAGTTGGAGTCGGGTAGAGGGAAAAATTTGGTGGAGAAGAAAGTCTGTTTTGGAAATGTGAGGATGAGAAAGGGCAAGATGAATATTAGATGGGGTGGATGGAATGGAGGAAAAAGAAGAAGCTAATGGAGAGAAGTAGGAACAAGGGCATTAATATGGGGAAGGGGGGGAGGAGCAAGATGAGAAAGAAGTAGAGGTTAGGAAAAGGGAGTGGGCTAAGGGGACTTGAAGGACAATATGGTCAAAAGAGGATAAAAGAATAAAATGTGGCAGAAATGACAGCGAGGCAGAAGATAAAAGACAAAGAAAAGGAGAAAGAGTCACATTTATCACCAAACCCATAAAGACCCTGTTCAATGTAAAGAGAAGAAGAGAAAGGTAATAGGTTGGAAGGCGAGAAGAAAGACCTAAGGAGATCAGTAAGAATCCCAGTATATCAATATTAAAGAGAGAGAGGTGGGAGGAGACGGAGGGGGATGGAGTGTAAGTGATTTTGTCAATAAGATGTTCTTCTGTTGGCCTTGACTCACAGCTGCCTCTCTGACTCCTGCG